TACGATTTCAAACTATTGTATACGCAATATATGTGAGTTTACGAGTGTACTTTTCTATCACCATTGGTATAGTTGTGAATCAGCAAAGGGTTTATTAAAAAGCAAACATCGATTTTACGCTTTTTATTACTTTCAGATATTGTTTGGTGAAACGATATAACCAAATATAAATTTTTAAAGTATACCTTTTCAACCATTACAATTCAAGATGTTCGACAACGCATCGATTGTACGTGCCAGTTGCCAAAATCAACTGCAACGGTCTGCTGCCATATCCTCAGATAGTAATACGGTATAGTTTGCTCTTCGCATCAGAGAATGTAAACATAACATAGGTCTTGGGTTTAGTACTATCATCCTCAATGTTTTCAAAGTTCCTACTCGACCGATGTCTTCATTGAACGAATCGGCCATTAGAGCAGCTAGAATAGGTCAAGTGAAAGTTTTTGACACTATACAAACTTAAACGTCTTGTCTGTTATGAGAAAAGTGACGTGTTGACGTGAGTTTGTACGTTTTGAAATTAGTGCTCTGATTTACCAAGAAAAAGAAAATGCTCCACTAATCTTACAAAGATCCTGGATCATCCTTCAAACGATTAGGTAACAAAACAGTCGTGACTGCTTAGTTAGTCAAAATATTTCGAAACAATGACATTCGAAGGGGTGCGATTTCGTTCAGTTAGATATGAATTTATCTCTGCTCATCAGATAGCAGGATTCGTAAAATTAGAACTTGAACATATTAACCGCTGATTGACAATAGTTGTCATAAAATACAATATCTCTGATCTGAATTTTGCAAATTTGATTTTACTTGGTTTGAATCTGTCCTTAGTATTGAAGGAAAATTGAAGGCCATACATATAAGATTATCATGCAGAATATAACGAGTTACAAGGAATGAAAGTCACTCACCTCAGCATGGTACAGTAGATTTGAAGATATATTGATTCAATAGTTCTAGGGAAGTAAGCATAGTTGATTCAAGTGATATCTATGATATTGATCATTTCAGTTCCGACAACTACATCGCAATTGTTTTTTATAAGTTTTTTTAAATGTAAACTGATAGGAAGTTGATTTTCAGTGGAGCGAGCGTTCATGAACCCTTCCTTAGTTACAGTCTTTATGAGTACATCATCAGATCTCATAAAAGAACAATGAGTCAATGATTCATTTGAATGTACTGTTGGAACTTCCAGTCGTAATTCAAATTTGAATTTCTAGTTGCTAATCTAATAGCTACTAATTCCATTGAACTTTGCATAGGACTGTGCCAAATATGCTGGCGATGGAGTGAAGTTCATAGTAAAAGAATGTGTAAATAATTTACTTAAACATGAAACTAGTAGACAAAATATTTAAAGTTCTATCGACTCGATTACAATGAAAAGTCATCTTTAAAATACAAAATATTCTCGAATCTATGAAAGATATTGGCAGTGAATTAGCATGTTGAAATATGAATCAATAAATTAGTAGACGTGTTTTCGAGTGATAGTGAACTAATCCATAAAGATGTTTAATGTCTAAAAAGTTCTAATGAATTTAGTATTATTCATTAGTAGAAAATGAAAAAACCAGTAACAGTCAATATCAGTGACACATAACTGTCAGAATGGTCTCACTCCATTCCATCACCATAGCTTTCGTTTGGTTCTGCGTACCGGAGAGGGGGGGGGCAGTAAAAGGAGAGAGTCTCCCAAATCTGGGGAGAAACTCTTTTGCACAATCTTTTTTCAAAGTTAAACATAATCTTATGCATAGGCGGCGGAATGTATAGGCTGGATGAGGCTCAAGCCTCACCCGGTTTCTGGTGGTATAGTCTTATGCTTAGGGAAATTTTAGATTGAAGAATAGATGATTCGTATATTTGAAATCTTAATATGATGCTTAGTTAGTCTTTTATTTTATTATGAGCGTGAAACAGCTGTATTCTAATACTTTGAGGAAAACAACAAGAGATTTAGACAGTTGTAAGCTCACAAACCGTGTAATTCCGAATCATAGTGACACTTAGCATTTGCATAACATAGTGTATAAACTTGGCAACCAGTAGAATAATGCAATAACATATATATATATATATGAAGATGAGATTATCTTCATTAAATACCATCAATTCATTAATTTTATATCAACCTAGTCAGACAAGCATCGAAAAATAACCCTTAAAACAGCGTTAAAACTGCACATTTTTCCAATTTTATTTTCGTTGAAAATTTTAACGCGCTTTTACTCATTTTGTGCTGAAATAAGTGCCTTTTCAGAAAAATAAAACGAAGATTTCGAACACTCACCTTATATTAAATTATACAGACGATTCATAAGGAACGTAATGATAGAGATTATGGGTTTTGTTTTACTAAAAGTTCACTTTTTTTCAGCAAAAAATGCGTAAAAACGAGTTAAAATTTTTAACGACAATAAAATCGGGAAAATGTGCGGTATTTACGCTGTTTTATACGCGTTTCTTTTTCGATGCTTGTCTGACTGGAAAGCACTGCCATTCAAAATTGACGCCATATTCCAATAAAAGTCTGGAAAAGCTTTTTTCTACGTCATGCTATTGCACTTTTTATCATATGGCTTGAGTGCCTTACGAGTATAGTACAAAAGTAACTGTGATAATCTCATTGATTGAAATCTAATATTATATTCGTATTCAAATAAACTTTAATAAGATAAACAGTTCTTCTCTTTCAGTTTTCTATTAGTGTTTTCATCTTAAATTTAACAAAATTAGATGCCATCAAAACAATTGTGACTTAGCTTTTTTTAAAGATCTGTAATCAATGTAAATCAGGCAAGCAAAACACAATTAAGAAAAATTCTAGTATTTGTAAAATTTTAAATACATGTGAAATGGCAAGTAGATGCTTCAAGATTTCGATAAATTTATTAGGCTGTATGTAACTATACTACAAACCACAAAATAGTACTGAAAAAGCTTTCAGAGCATAGAAACTAGTGCAAAACTCAATTTAGACGCCTATGAAACATGCACGAGTTGATATCTGTATATTGGCACATATTAAGAGAAACTCTATGAAATGAATTCATATCAAGTCGCATCAATGTTTTTATCGTCAGATGAAAAAAAAACAATTCTTTGCTCAGGCCCTAATTTAAAAGAAACGTGTTTCTTGAAGTTATATGAAATTTTAGTCTTTCAATAAAGATATAAAAACTCCATCGAAAAACCTTCAGCGAAAGCTAGATGAACTATTTTTTAGTTGACATGAATACTAAACAACCCGAAGCGACTTATCACTTGGCGTTGCTCAGGTAACCTAACATTCCGATATGAGCAGCTGTAATGAGATTAAAAAATAAGCCTAAATTCAGCCTCACCCGGTTTTAAAACATTTCACCGCCCCTGATCTTATGCGAAACTTGTAAAGCCTTTTTTATAGTTAGAACAATATTTTCCCTTGTCTTCGTTTTTGTTAAATTCATGCAGAAAAAAACAAATAAACGAAAACCATTTTTTTTATTAAAAACGCTGTTTACATCTGTAAAGTCAGGTCATAAACAGAAAATAATTTAAATATAGAGAAAAAGTAAATGAGCGCAAAGAGAAAATTAAGTAAAGGGAATATATTTTAGCTCTAAAGAGAAAATGAATTAAAGTAAAGAGAAAACCTTTAAAATCTGGCACTATGTCAATTCGTCGCTTATATATACAATTGGAAGTAAGATAGTGATACACAATATAAATTAAACAACACTAATTGAATTAATTAATTTAGTTCAAAACGCTACTGAGTTTATCAACAATTACGACTCGTAGCAGAGTTGACGAGGTACTTGTGATTACGAAAAACGATGATACAGATGGAGTTTCACGGTATTCATCGATGATAGATCTTTATCTGAATATCATTCTATATTCTTTGCTTATGGAGAATTGAGTTGTTTTCGTGATGACTCATCTATTAATTAGTGAAGAGTTTTGACAAAGCTGAATATAGTGAGAACTTTTTTTTTGTAGTCGCTGACTTTTCCACGTCTACTTTTATCACCAGTCTCTACACTGATGCTAACCGTTTGAGAATTAAAAGTTTCTTTAAGAGCCAACCATACAATCTGATAGTAGTTAATATCTTCTAGAACTGTTCTATGTTTTTCCGAGTGAACTGATGATTTTCTGAATCTTTTGTCAGCAGTAGTTCATATATATATAAATGACCTACCTCTCCGAAATTATTTTATCTTGATAGATAATAAACGCAGTAACGTTTTGGACTAAATTAATTAATTCAATTAATGTTGTTTAATTTATATTGTGTATCACTGTCTTACTTCCAAACGTATATATATACGCGACGAATTGATCGGTCACCTAAAATCTAATGGGAAAATGATAGAGTTTAAGGGAACTTTTGGTTCTTTTTGTGCTACGCAGCTGATACGATTCAACATGAAAATCTACTAACTGTTCCTTCAAAAAAAAAATTTCTGAAAGAAAAATACAATCGCAATAAAGCAGCGGGGGAATCCCCCAGCTTCCCCCACTAATCGTACGCGCTGTCCATCACTGTAATGTGCTCGACTTAAACGCACGTTCTCATGTAAATCTTGAATCTATCTCATTGAAGTCTAAATTAGTGAGTCGAAGTATTTTTACAGTTCATCTAACCCTTTTGAAATTCTTTTTTAAACTTTTATTTCATATTATTATCATCAAGAATTACAATAGATTTCATTCTGATAAATGTAGAAGTTTGCATACCATGGCCAGAAACAGAGAGAGATTTGTAATCTTGAAATGTTTCTTACAGAAAATGACATCTCTAAAGAACATAGTCAGGGATCATGACCACCATTTTTAAAACAAACATGTTTTATTTTTTGACACTTCATTTAACCTTCTAAACTTTCAAAAACTAACTAAAAGACGATATTTTTCTCTATATTCAAGATTCGTTCATTTAAGTAAAGAAACAAAAAACATTTTTAAAATTTGATACATTTTTTTATAGGATTCAACATCAGATGTTCGTATTTGGCCCGAAAGATTCTTATAAATTATTTGAAACTGACAGTTTATTGGATAACCAATCTGCATCCACTCAAACAACCGATAACAGATCATTTTTAATTGATGAAAAACATTTCACTATCGATATTTGTTCGAATTTTAATGAATCGAATCAAGTTAATTATGAATCTATTCGTCGATTTCAAACAGATCGTCTGACACTGTTTCTCTTTATAATTGAAGGTAATACTGATGGAAAAATTGATCCAGAATCAATAATTACATTTAAAATTCTCAGTGATATTTACCTGTTCGATACCAAATCGTATTTATTTATTGTCAATGGTTCATATCCAATTCAAGACCAAAATACTATGAAAAGTAATATTGAATTATTATTGGATCTTGAAGATATTCAGGTAAGTTTCATAAATTCGAAGTCACTAGATTATTTTGAAGTGTTGATTCAAACACTTCGAAAATGTAAGCCTAGCATACCTTCTAAACAAAAAGAATTTTCATGGACATATCCAAAGATTAAAGAATTAAAAGATCAATTAGAGCAAAAACCAAATTGCTTGAGTGAAATCTATTATTTACATAGTTTATTGAAAGAAGCCAATGTCAAAACAGAAGACAATGATGGTTTACTTGTATTTTCGTATAGAAATATTCAATACTTTTATGATTATAAGAAAAACAAATTAAGTTGTAGCAATAATCAAGGTATCAAACTTTTAGATAAGAAAGGATTCGGTATGTTAAAATATCTTCTAAAAAGAGATGCTCTATTTCGTCAATCCAAACAGATTCAGAACGAATTCGATCAAGGCATTTTAGACAAGGCTATCACTGATTTTTTGAAGCAAATCAATGAGCACACTCTAAAAACGAATGATGATGAAACAAGACGACAAATGGATGCAATAGATAGAATGATATTTGCATTACAAGATGAGAGTAATCAGAATATGAATGAAACAAAGAAACAGTTAGAAAGAGAACTTCATAATTATGAGCAACACCAATCAAACCTGCGAAATTTCGAAAATGATATTCGGAAGACGAAAAAACGAATTCAAAATTTGAGTATAAAAGTGGCTGATGGCGATAATAGTGAAGTAATGCTGGAAAGTGATGATAGATTGAACGATTTCTTACAAATAGAAAGGTTTCAATTTGAGAGTACTTTAAATACTCAGGAGATTCAAAGTCTAAAAGAAATGAAGAAAAAACAATTGAATGGAATAGATTCGATAGAAATAGAGAACAGAAAGATTTCGATGTATTGACAAAACATTTGTGCGATGAAAATGAAGCTCTGAATAAACTAAAGAATGAATTAGAAAATAAACAGAATGTACAAACAACTTTGGAGAACCGAAACGCTGAAATCGAAGCTCTTAAATTTGCAAAATCGCAATATGAGGGTCCTATTGAAACATTGAAGAAAGAAAAGGAGGCATTAGAGAAAGAGAAACTTGAAAAAATTCGTGAAAAACGAACGCAAGATATTTTTAAAGATGTTGGAGGATCAGATCGAACCGTTCGACATAACAATAAATATTATCGTCCACATGAAGAATGTACCGAATTTCCAAAAAACAATTATACGTGCCAATATATCGAAGCTGTACAAGAAGCAGTTCATTTTGTCTCGGAAAAACTTGAAATTGAAAAAAGCATTGATATCGAAGCAACAAAATTAGAATTACTGAAAAAATTGTCTGAAGAGAGATAGGATCATTCTGTCGGAGCAATAGTAGATGGAAAAGCGAACGGAAAACATGTCAAAGATTTGAAAAGAGTCGTTGATAAAATAATAAGTAGAAGAGAGGTACTAGAACGAGAAGCCACCGATATCGGTAAGACATATCAAGAGGAAATCAGTAAAAAACAAGGAAATATTTCATATATCGAAAATACGAAAATAGCTACAGATGAAATTATCGAAATTTCGAATGGCAATCCACAAAAATTTAGACAGGAGCGTTTAAGTAATTTATCGATCATTGTCAATACTAAAGAAGCTATTAAATTGATTGAATCAACCATGAAACAAAAACAAGACCTTATTCATCTGTTAGAAGAAAAGAAATCTCTTGCCGATGCTAGAGTTCGTTTTTCAGAAGGATAGGATTCAATCAAACAGAAACATGACCTAACTGAGCAAATTCGATCGTACGAAGAATTTCTCAATAGTACTGCAGAATCAGATGAAAGTTCGATGTTTTTACGACAGGAATGTCTTAAACAACTTAAAATTTTGAAAGACTATCGTAGTTATTTGAATGATGAAAGTCAAAGTTAGACATTAAATTCAGAAATTAATCCCATAACTCAAGACAGTTCTAATATAGAAAATAATAGTCAATATTCATACACAACTGATAGGTCGACAGAAAGTCATCAACAACAACTTGACTGTTTAAGAAACGATTTATACAATTTAGAACAGCAAAAGAAACAAATTGAATATCATATACAGAAAGAGAATATTGTCGGTAAAGTCGAAGTAATTAAACTTCAGTTAAATTATTTCGAATCTCTTCCCGATATTAACGATATTCGTGCTAGGCCAATTCCACTAAACCAATCATCTCAGATAAATAGTCGCACTCATTATGGATTCGATTTTCGAAGTAAAAGATATGCTTATCCATTACCAGATCCCAAGAATAATGATATTCAACTAGAACATATTCAAAGAATAAATCGTATTCTTAACATTGTAGATTTAATTGAGTGATCAATTGAAAACTGCTACTGATGAGCAACGATCGATTCGTTTATCTGGATTCGATCGATTTTACGATGGGACAATGTTAAATTCAATTCAATCTTTGATTTCAGTTTTAATATCTGAACTGATTAATCGCCCTCATCTGTATCAGTTCGATGGGAACAATTGTCTTGATTCACTCATCGAACAAGGTGTAATGAAAATTTTAAAAATTTTGAAGAACAATCAAGATAATGATAGAGTTATATCAGAAATCAATACGAAATATGCGGATGAAGGTTGTTTATCGAGAATCATAATTTTCACTGATACACAAGAAAATGAGTACAGATCCAATCTTTCTAACACTGAAACTCATGACAAGAGAGATTTGTTTTTGCTCAAGCAGAATAATTTGTACTTTGTATTAAAACATGATCAAACAATCAAATCAGTCGATGATGAAAATCTTAATCTTAAATTACACATTAATCAATACATATCTGACATCTCCGAATGTAGTGACCTTTTAGAGAACTTATGTCAAATGTGAATAAAATATCATTATAAAAAATATATAGAAAAATCCAATAGTTTAATCGACGTTTATCAAGATGAAACGAATCGATTAAGTAGAATCTATTCAATAAGAGAATTCAATGGAGAATATTCATCGTATTTAAATTCAACTCTTTTCTATCTTCTATCGAATTTAGACGAAAATTTAAATCAATTCGAACTAAAACTGAATAAAGGCGATTTTGAATTCGAAGAAACATTAAATAATAGTTTAATCAAAATAAAAGATCTTTATAAATCGGCTATTATTAAAGTTTTATATGATGAGCAAGAGCGCAGAAAACAAATACGTCAGGATAAGATAAGAAAAAATGATCATGACGAAAATGATTTGAAATTTTCTATTGAGCAAGATGAANNNATTGATTTAGTCATGGAAAGTTGTGTTGATTTAGATTATCAATTGTTAAATAAATTATGTTTAAAGCAATTATCTCTGTGGAAATTACCACTTGAGAAAAAGATTCTTTCGGAAGAACTAGATCAAATAGCTTTATTTGAACATGCGACTACGATAGATAAATCGATTACAGTTGATTATTTATATAAAATAGATGAAGAAAAAGGAAAAGATATTTTGACAAATTTATTAATCCTTATAAAAAACATTCAAATTCAAAATGATGAACTTGTTCTTAATCAATTAAATAATTCGTTAGAAGAGCTAACTTTTGGTGGTTTTACTTTAGATAAAGATAGTTTAAATCAGTTAAAAGATAAACCGTTTGATCAATGGAAAAATATTTTAAAAGATCACACTGAAAGACAATTTCATGAATTAAGTGTAGAGCAATTGATTGAATTGATGAATGAAAAAACAGGTAAAGGAAAAATAAATGAGCCCATTAAACATTTATTAAAAGGCCAACCCGATGAAACAAAAATACACAAATTATTAGAAAGAATTTATTCATTTTATGGTAAGAGATTCAATGAAAAGGAAAAAACATTAAAATATGAAGAAGAAAAATCAAAAATTTGTATTTCTTTATCTGGCAAATCAATTATGGATTGGACAAAAGTTGATATTGGACAATGGGCTGATAAGTTAACAGAAGAAAAACGTTCGAATCAAGAATATTTTCATTGGGATAGAGAATATGTTCCAGAAATGATGGCTGTCATTGTACGAGCAGTAGAATTATATCATGGATATCATCCTAGAAATTTTCAATTAATCGCGTTAGGTATATTTTTAGAACCATATGGTAGAGAAAAAGGTAGATTAGGTAATATATCTACAGGTGAAGGAAAATCATTGATTACTGCTATGTTAGCAGCTGCACAAGCATTGATTGACAAAAATGTTGATATTGTTACGAGTTCGCAAGTTTTAGCTATTCGGAATGCAAGCGACGATCCAGAAGAAGGTTATAAAGAATTTTTTCATTTATTTGGTTTAAGAATTAATAATAATTGCGATGATGCTTGTGAAAATCCAAGAACAGGTCAAATAGAAAGAAAAGAACGATATCTACAAAATGAAATCATTTATGGTGAGACTGCTTATTTTCAAAGAGATATTTTGCTGACGATATTTTTTTCCAAAAACATAAGAGACCGTATAGGAGACATTCTACTTGTAGACGAGGTTGATAATATGGTTATTGATAATGCTGAGAAAACATTATATATTTCTCATGGTACTACTGATATGAGACATTTAAGAGATTTATTTATTCAAATCTGAATATCAGTCAATAATAAAATTAAACAATCTTATAGTGAAGAAAATATGAATAAAGTTCATCAGTATATTCAGCTGATGATTGAAAATAAAGATTTAAAAATTCCGAGTACTTTAAGAAAATTTAACGATAGAAATTTAAAAACTTGAATATTCAATGCATATTGTGCCAAATATGTTGAAGATAATGATAATTATATAATAGGTGATGTTGAATCAAATAAACATGGAGAAATTTTAATTATGGATAAAGATACAGGTGTTGAACAATTGAATACACGTTGGAGTAATAGATTACATCAATTTTTACAATTAAAACATTGTGGAAAATTAAATGATGAAAGTTTAAAAGCAATTTTTATGTCGAATGTGAACTTTTTCAAACTTTATAAGAATTTAAATGGGATGATTGGGACCATAGGTGGTTAAGAAGAGAGAGAATTATTAAGTCTTGAATATGGAGTTGATCGTTTTGAATTACCACATTTTAGAAAATATCGATTTCAATATGAAAAGAGTAAAGAATGTGTTTGTGAAAGCGAATATGATTGGTGTGAACAGACAAGAAAAAGATGAAATAGAAAAGATTAAACAAGAATCAGAAATTTTATTAGAAGGAGTAAAGAAAGAATTAGAAAAATTAATTCGACAACTAAATGAAAGAAATCATGAAAATAATCAATTGTTTAAGGATAAAGATACGTATAGAGAAGAGAAGAAAAATTTGATAGGAAATGTTCAACAAACATTGAAGAATAACGATGAAAATAATTTGCCAAAAATTTATAAATCATTAGAGAAATGTGAAAAAGATATTAATAGAAAAAGAAAGGATATCGATCAAATTGATCAAAATATTAATTCATTAGAAGAAACTATTCGTTTTCATCAGACACAACAGGCAAAGTTAGAAAGAAATATTCAAAATTATCAACAAATATTAGGATCAGGTGACAATAGAGATAAGCGACGAGCTGTTCTCATTATCTGCGAAAATATTGCCAATTTAGAAAAAATAACTGCAAAAGTTCGACAAGCATTCCAATCGAATAAAAAAAAAATATCTATACCTATGATCGAGCTTATAGAAAGTTTGAAAAAAGTGAATTAAATCCAGGAGATATTATTAGTGCGACGAATATTGCTGGAAGAGGAACCGATTTAACTATTGATAAATTACTTGAAGCTAATGGATGATTACACGTTATTCTATCTTATATACCTTGAAATTTACGTGTTCAACAGCAAGTATTTGGTAGGACAGCTAGAGGCAGAAAACGAGGTACAGGAGTGTACATTGTACATGATACACGTAAATTGATGTTTTTGCTAGATATAACAGTTAATTTTCTTCTTAATGAACGAGATGAAAAAGAAAAGAAACGATTACAAGAAATTATTAGCAAATCTTTTCCTAAAATCAAAATAGAAAATATTTTATTTGAAAAATTTAATCTCTTTAAAGAAGAAATCAAATCTAGAATACACGAAAGTTTTCGAAAATCCAAAGTAGGAAATGAATCCTTTCAAGAATTAGCTCTTTTAAATGAAGAAGTTAAACGTACAATAGAACAAATTTTTGTTGCAAAGCATAGTAAATTTGATTTCAATGCAAACTATTTAGAATTACAATTAAATAGTTTACAAAATCATTGGGACTTTTGATTGAATAAAATGGATGAGAAACTGACTCAAGTATATTTAACTGGACCAGAACCGATTTTAGAAAAATTTAGTAAATTCAAGAATAAGATTTGTAGAAAGCTTTCATTAAATACTTTTGGTTTAATAACTGAACTTGGTGAGTTAATTAAATTAAGCAAACTATTTATGGATTATAAAAAATACAAAGAAGCACAGTATTGTTATGATGAAATTATTGAGCAACATCCAGATTTTTCAGACATTGCTGATTATTATAAAGAGTTTTGGAGATAAAGAAGAAAAACTTAAGGCAAAAGCACACCTAAAAAAAGCTCTTAGTTTATTAGAATCGAAACGAAGTACTATTATGTCACGTAATCAAATATTACTCTCTTTAAATCAAATAACTTAGCAAAAGGGTCAAGGATTAAATGTTAACTACTTTAAGAAACAGAATGAAGATGAAGCACAAATATTGTCACATCATAATAATGCTATTTTGGAAGCGATTGGTAGTGAAGTCGGTTCGGAAAACTTTCGTAATGGAAAAATAACAGGAGATATTCCTACTGAAGTTTACAAAGAATTGTTGAAAGATGATTATGATATGATAAAAGATAATCGAATCAGTAAAAAAGCTATTATTGGATCAAAATTTTTAATAACATCCAATGCTAAAAAATGGAGTCGATTTTTAGATAGTAAGATCAAAGATGGAAGAAGTGAAGCAAAAAAAATCGAACCACTTTTATTAACGAAAGGCAAATTGTTAACGTATGACAGTTTTCGTAAGTTAGGCTTCAATGAAAAACAATATGGAGAATTGAGAGACGAGTTGCAAAATCTAGATATCATATCTACTCGTAAGCTATATAAAAAATCCGACCATCCCACAGGTGATCTACAATATATAGCATTTCCTGGTATTTTCGAATATTGCCAAGAGGAGGTATTGAAAAATTTAGAATCAACTTTAATTCAATCACAAGAACCGAATTGGAATTATAAGAAAAGAATCATTAAAGAGAATTTCTTTGAAGCTAACGTTTTTCATAGAGAGATATTTCTGAATGCTACTAGTGATATTGTTAAACAAAGAGAAATGATTAAAATCAGTGACGATTTTAGGGATTTTTTAGTTGACAAGTTAGATGATCCTGTGTTTTGTTCATTGGGAAATGATGCTAAAAATTTATTACTAGGAAAAAACTTAATTCTATTAAATGCCGGAAATAGAGTAAATCGGGATATTTTTTTTTAAACAATATGTCAAAAATTGAATATGGACGAGATCAAATGTGAACTGATTAAGACTCTATTGAATGATCAATTTGGAGAAACAATTGAGATTGTTACTCACGTCTCTGAAACTTTAAGACAGACTATAGCTGAAAAATTAAAAGATACAATTTTTGGTGAAAATATATCACAAATTCAAGAAATAATACAAGCATCCTTATCTGATAAGGAGAGGTTTTCATTAAGCCCAGAAGATATTGTTAAGAAAACTACTTTGATCAATACATTAAAAGAATTTGGACATGATCGACAAATGTCTGAAGAACAAATATTGAATATATTAAGATACTTAGAATATAACAAGACTCTTAGAGTCGATGAAAGTTTAGAAGAAAAATTTAATGATAATACTAATAATCGGGTTTTCTGTGGGAAAAAAGAAAAAATTAAAAAGTTTTTACCAGGAAAAGAATCCTATACATTAACATCAGGAGAAAAAGTGAGTCTACAACCAGATGAAAGTAAAGTTTCAATAAATCAGCTTATTGCAGTTATGGAAAAAATTGGAATAACAGATAACGAGAAAATTAATGATCTTTTTAATTATTTAGCTCTTGAATTTTATTCTCTAAAATTCATTAATTCTTACAAAGAATTTTACCTTGAAAACAATAATATACAAAAAATTAAAGAATATTTATCGAAAATATCGTTTATATTAACAGATGAAAATAAAGAAGAAATAAAAGCAAAAATAAAAATGTTTAATTTTATTCGAATTGGCTCACTAAATAATAAAAGCGCACTCATTAAAAGAACTTTATTGGAAGCAATCGACCATAATAAGTCTAATTTAATTAGTGAAGATTTTTGTATTAATCTAGAAGAGTTTGAACTCCTTAGAGGAATTCTACAAGATAATGGTATCAAAGAGCCAATGCTTTATGAACTACTTCTTTCTAAGTCTCACGACCGAACTTCTTCTAATAGTAACAAATTATTTTATTCAAACTTGGAAAACATTTTAATTATATTGTATAACAATGATGGTAAGATTTCAGAAGAAAACTTATCATTACGAACGGCTAATGAAGTCAGCAAAGAACTTTGGTGTCGTTTAAGAGAAGTGACTGTAATAAAAGAAGCTAAGGTTTATTTTAAATTCACTAATGATCCCGAAAAAAGAATCGAAAATATTCAAAAACAGGTTGAAAATGTAGTTAAAAAGGTATTTGGTTTAAAAAGAAAAGATGATATTATGTATACAATCACAGATTGGACAGATTTTGCCGATTTTACAACATCACAGAACAAGGAACTTGATGAATATATTGATAGTATCACTAAGATTTTGAAACATGCTGCAGGAGTATTCGCGCTGTACCGAAAGTTAAAATTGAGGAAAAAAATCTTAAAACAATGTTTCAAATGGGAAAAATACTACCAGAGCTTATGGATTATGTTTGGATGTGTTTTAATTCAGTTCTATCCGTAAAAGAAGATAAAGGTCATTGGAATTGGGATGCATTTGCTTGTGCCATGATAGGAATAGCACAAATTGTTGCAGGTATTACTTTAGATATATGTACATGTGGTGCTGCACATTATTTTGCTCAAATTCTGATTGCAGAAGGCATTAGAGATATTATTTTTGCGATTCAATCAGAGGTATACAGGAAAACTTTAAATTGGAAAGCTTATTGCCAACATAAGGTTCAAAGTTTAATCATTTCTCTATTGACAGCAGGAGTTGGAAGTTATTTAGGTAAAGGTACACAAGTAGGACAGATGGGTATCGGGTTAGCGACAAAGACAGTAATATTAAAAGCAATAGGAAAAGAAACATTGACTCAATTAATTACAGGTGTTACATCAGGCATAGTCAATATTACTACGGATGAGTTAAATATTATCAATGATAATATTCATGCAGCTTTATTAGATCTACAACATGGAGATCTCGCAAATGCAATATTTAATAGGGTTACACAAATAGCTCATGGAATTTCGGGAGCATATTCGAGCACGGCAAGAATATTTCAGAAAGGTACCAGCAAAGTAATACTATTTGGTTCGATTGCAAAAATGATTGATAAAACCGTTAGTGGAGTAAAATTTTACAAGAACTTATTGGAAGTGTGCGTTCTATGCAATCACTTTTGTGACATTTTGGATAAGAAATTATCAGAGAGTCTTAACAATAAAAAAAGTAAAATCAAATATTGAAAAGATAAAAGAAGAAAATAAAAATATCTCCATATTAGCTAATATTTCAGAACACATCAAATCTATGGAAGACCAAATGAAAATTGCTATGAAAGAAAAAGTAAAAAATGATTTTTTAAAACCTGGTATACAATTTACATTAAACCATGCTGTTAAACCGATAAGAGAATTCATTACTTCTCCTTTTGATAATGCAATGGATGAACTAAAAGATCATATAGATAAAAGAGCTGATGAATATATGGAATTGATTGAAAAGAAGGGACATGAAGCATTAAGTAAACTAATTTCTAGAAAACAGCGACCGTTAGAACAACTAGGTTGCTTAGTCGATGCAAAACATCTAAATCCTAAAGTTTTAAATGAAAACGTGTCTAATTTAAATGGTCAATCTATCGGGGACCTAATCAAACAATATGGTGATAACGTAAAAATTGCTGTTAAAAATGGAAAACTACTTGCAGTTCCTCCAACGTATAAAGAATATATGGATAATATAGAAACGGGAATATTTGCAGGACCTATCCAATGTATATTAGCAGCAGACAAATATAAAGTAGCTATAGAAGTAGTTGATCCTGGAGACAATTTCCAACCACATAAAGATGCACCAAATGGTGGAACGATTAATCCTACTAAAACTAAAAACGGCAAGCCATTTAAAGTGGCTTATATAAAGTCTGGAGAGAAGGGTAAAGTTGGTCACATTGCCCCAGTTATAGAAGTAGATGACGAACTTAGAGTGGTGAATATAAAACAAAATGCAGTTACACAAGATAAATGTTTTGCACAAACTATGTTATTTCTTGAAAAATATCATGCGGGAGAAATAAAATCTGTGGATATTGATAGTGAATATGATTGTGGTATAAGTAAAGAAGAAATCAATAAATTTTACAAAAACTTAGCTGTATTAGGATGGCAGAGTAGTTCATTGCGGCAAGTTTATCAAGAAGGCATTACTTTGAAAAATTCTGAATTTTTAGGAGGACGATCAGCTGGATCTAATAACAGAGATTTAGAACTTTCAAAACAAAGATCAGTTAGATATCGTAGAAGACATCCAGATTCCGAAGGTGAAACTGAGAGCCAAAATCCTTTTATTGCGTATAGATCGCTACGTCCAGATGAAAAACCTTTTTTCGACGGATTACGTCCTCCCAAAGATCACGATCCTAATATATCAGCAAAAGATCATATTGCACATGGCAGTAGAGCTAAGAAAAAAAGTGCATACGTTTCTGCATCGAGAAGCATAAAAGTGGCAGCAGCGTGGGCTAGTGAAGGAAGTGGATTGGTCGCAGAATTTGATGTACCAGATCAGAAGCACTTGCCCTACGAAAAAAGATCTGTATTTGATTTAACTGATCCAAAGATAGCAGACTATCTTTTTGGTAGTAACAATACAAGAATTAAAAATTATGCAAAAAGTTCTCAAGAAATAACTATAAAAGATGGTGTCGGCGCCGGCAATATACGTAAAATCTATGAAGCTGCCAGAGTAACACATGAGGAACACTATAGCTTGAAAAAGCAAAAGCCTGATGGAGTGAAACTCGTCAGAACAAGAAAGCAAACAAAAGACTCTTCGTTGTACATAAAGTTAGAAGAAACTTGGAGAATGGCAAACAATGAAAATTAGGTCTATCCATGAATTTTTCCAGATATTCACATAAGAGTTCTTTTCATTTCTATCAAGTTATGAATCGTTCACATTGTCTTATCGGTAAGACTAACTGAAAAGCAGTCAGTTACAATGTAGCTTGTCATGGGATGTGATCATGGAAAATTTTCTCAGTCGATTTTCAGTTTAAAAGTCGCTATATATGCGTATGATAGAACACATTTCTCTATTTACTTCAGGAATAATAAGAATTTTTCCTGGAGGCCCTCAAATCGATCTTATAATCTTCAATCACTCTAAGGTGTACCAAGTTGAGAATGATCGATCATACTAAGTCCAGTGTAACGTTTTTATATCTGCAAATAATTCTGACATCACTCTATCGACAGTTTCGAAATAATCAGTTTTTGCGAGACACAGCAACAGAGCAGTAGAATTTCGGAAACCTCAATATAGTGATTTCGGATCACTTTGTAAGCCAATTATCCCTGTCGTGATCTGTTCCAGGGTGTGTTTGATCAAACGTTTACTTTTATATTGAAAACGTACCCGAAAAATTGTCCAAGGTCAAATTCTAAGACAATCGTCAACGTAGCTATCAATTTAACAAATAGTCTTTTCGATTTTCGCGTTGTCTTATAAAGTTTTACTGACTTTTCTACTAGAGAAACCATAGATCGGTTAAGTACATTAATTTTTCATAGAAGCATTAGAATGGATTAGTAAATAACATAATCTAGTGATTGTACATTAACCAAAACAATTTACGAGCTTTTCTGCATTGTTTTATTTTCAGTTTTCATCTTTTATTTACTTTCATGTTATCTTTTCTTTTTTGTTGTGTTCATCTACCTTTTTGTATATTGTTTC